CTGCTTCCTCTGTTTTTTCTGTAAAGAATCTTCAGTGCCTCCTATGGAAGGTTAACTAACTCATAATTTTCCTGATGGCCCTTAATTACTGTCTCAGTCTTTGAAATAAACCTGTAGTTTCACCAGTGTGGCATATGAACAATAAGAAAAAATTAAGTTACCTATAATTTTATCCATGCAGAAATGCTCGAAAGCAAGAAATCATAAAAGCTTACAGAAAGCTGGCATCCCAGTGGCACCCTGATAACTTCCAGAGTGAGGAAGAAAAGAAGAAAGCAGAGAAAAAATTCATTGATATAGCAGCTGCTAAAGAAGTCCTCACTGACCCAGGTAATGATTGTTCTTATGCAGTGATTTCTGTTTTGTTTTTTTTTTAATTAGCAAGTGTAAGTCATAGCAAGCATTACAGCTTCCCTGCTGGTCAGCTTGGGGGGGGGAGGGTTGGAATGGGAAGCGAAGAATGTGGTCACTCTCCTGGGAGACCTTGTGTTGTGGTGACTGGGAGATGTGATGTCTTGTCTCACCAAGAGAAGAAGAAAAGGAGTTGGAATACCTAGTCTCAAGAATCTAGTTAAAAACAGGGTGGTGTGATTATCTCACCTCCTTTTAAAAGAAAAAACAAGCAAACAAACCAACCCAAACAACAACAGGAGAAAAAAACCAAACCAAAACAAAAAAACCCAAACAAAAACCCCAAACCTCTCAACCAGAGCCGTCTGTTAAATTCTTGTCTTTAAACTCTTCCTGTATGGTCACTGGAAAGAGAAGCACATGGAAGATGTATGTATTGGAGGCTCCCATTTTTGTCTGCAACTGTTCAGGATCATCTAAGTGATAATTAGGCAGATGGGCTCAGACTTTCTTGGGGAAAGGAGGGATCTGAGAGTGATGAACTGCGTTACAAGCACTTCTGGTCAGAGTAACTTTTTCTGTGTTAATGTGATCTTTGTTCATAATTACAAACACAAATTAGGAGATTTATAAACTGGAAGCATTTCAAATGCTGTTTGCCCTGTCAGCATCTCCAGGACATGTTCATCTACTTTTTCCTTCACGCTGTTTCTTATGTCATGTTGCTGTTCCTGTCAAACCAACTGGGCAAGAAAAGTAACACCAGTCGTGTTTGGCTTTAGTAATGCCATCTGTATTGCCTTCTGTCTCTTCTTACTGCAATGACATTCTCTCCTTTCATCCAGATATTTTTCCCAGGTCATTTTGTGGCTCTAGTGACCATGTTGGTTATGTGAAGAAAAACCATAAAGCCTATGGAGCTCTGAATCTTTGAGCTTTGATTTGCAAGCTTCTTATCACAGGGCTCTGTTGTACTTTGAGGCCATCTTCCACGTTCCTCCCGCAGCCAGTCTCATGATTCCCCCGTAATGAACTCCTCTGCTTCCCCTCTCTGCCCTCATAAAATGGGTGTCCTGAAAAAGTGCCAGGTGATCAAAGTCCTTGTGGTGCTTGCAGGCTGCTCGGAAGCTGTGTATGGGTGTAAACAACAGAGTAGTGGTGTAGCCTGTGTCTTGTCTGTGGGTGTTGGGGAAGCCTTTCAGCTTTGTCCCCACTGGACAAAACTTCTTAAGGAACACGCTTTCTGCCTTCACACTGCTATCCCTTAGACAGCTCTCTGCCTGAATGGTACCTAGAGAAGACTGGAAACATTTGGGGCTCTGCATGCTGACTTCTGTGCTATTCCTGAATGGTCAATGTTGAAATTTATTGGTTGCAAGGAATTCTTACATAGTCTGTCGGACCATCCCAAGTGAGTGCAGCTGTGAGAGCATAGGTCCAATAAACTCATCACGGACAAAATGTCCCAATTATTTGTGAGACGCAGCTGGTCAAAGCGCAACTGTCGTGTCCCTGTTGAAATTCATACCTGCTGGACTGCCAGGTGCTCTCTTACCCTTTTTTAAACTAAATGATTTGTTGGAAGTTTTTCATATGGTGTTTTCATGGAGTTAGTGTCTTCTCTGCCAGTCTCCTGGGCAGCGTTGAAAAACAAAAAGTGATTAGGTTCTACAGATGCTGCCGATACAAGTGATAATTGCAGCTCTCTGGCCTAGGGGTGGTTTGAATTAGGTTTTGGTCATCAAAGATGCTTGCTGTTACTGCCCTAACTACTGTGCCGTGATTCCACCTTGCTTTTGTTTCTTCCAGAAATGAGGCGGAAGTTTGATGCGGGAGAAGATCCACTGGATGCGGAGAGTCAGCAGGGAGGGGGCAACCCTTTCCACAGGAACTGGAACACATGGCAAGGATTCAACCCCTTTGGTTCTGGAGGAGGACCGTTTACATTCAAATTTCACTTCAGTTAGAGCCAAGACTGTTTCCGGTGGCTACTGCTGGTTTTTTACTGAATTTGTTGAAAAATAACAAGTCTCTCAGTTCAGGACCCAAAAATCTTAATTTCTAATGTTGTCCTTAACCCAGAGTCTTACCGCACTAGAAGAAAGTTCCTTCTTTCTTTTAGTGTTCGGAGAGTTTGCTTTGTGGGGAGCTTGGCAAGCTCGTACTGGTTGGGGGGGTTTGTTACTGCCTATGTATTTGTTGTGGATGTGCAGGATGTGTTTATTCCTACAGGTGGAAAAAACAGTAAGAGGCTACTTAGGACAACACTTAAACATAAATTTAGGACTCAAGTATATGCTTAAAGGTAAAAATGCATGTAAATATTTTCGGAATCGGGGCCTAATAAACACGGAAAGGGTAGTTAAAATAGTCTCTGCATTAACAAACTGTTAGTTGTCGTGCTCAGCAGAACGATCCATCTCTCAGTATTCTGAAAAGGAAACCCTGGAGACCACCTGCTGTGTTACTGTGGGCAGTGCCATAGGTGGGGTGAGGAGGCTGCGTGCTGAAGGAGTCGGAACAACCGCTCTGAAAGGAGACCGCTCGTAACTAACTGCGTTTGGAGAATGTCTGCTCGCTTCGTTCGTTAACCCGAAGTCAATTGGGATGATTTTCTTAGTGGTAATTGTCAAATATGAAAGTAAAAAAAAAAAAATGCACCTGATGTTTTTCAAAAGACTTTTTCTGAGTGTGATTTGAGGTGTTTAGGTATCGTTTTTGAGTAGTTTGCACTTTAACAAAGTACCTGCTTGAGATTTGAACAAAAAATTGGATGTGAATACTTAATTAATACTTAATACCTTTAAGTTTCCAGGATCATGTTCCATGTTCAGTTAATACTATGTGAGATGTTTTGAAGTAATTTTATGTTTTGTGTAACAGCTACAATACTGCAAAAGCAACTGCCTGTGTGCAAAAAGGGGACTAATTTTCCATTAGCCAAAAGTCTGGTTTATTTTTCGTATATGCACGTAGCTAAAATTGGTTTAGTGTCTTGATCAAACTGTGTGACTGCGATGTGAGGTGTTACCAGGGCAGTAGCTGCTGTGAGTGAATAGTCTTCTCATTCTGTAACTGAATATATTGTAATTACTGATGACTTTTAGCAGCAGCCGCTTTCTTAGAATGCAAGATACACCGTTCATCAGTGTTTTCTTGATTGGATTTTAACTGGAAAACAATAATCAGTTGATAGGAATCTTCTCTCGCTTCAACTCACGGCGTTTGAAAGCGTAAGCAGCCTCAGTGAAACGAATGAAATAAGCAGATCAGGCCTTCAGTCTGCAAGTGGGTTTTTTATTCCTGTAATCGGAGTCGCTATCGAAGCGTAACCCTTGTCCCCGCCTCAGGGACTTCACAGACATAATTGCGAGGCCGTGCTGCTTCACAAAACTTTTTTACAGCAGCAATTTAAAGGTCAGTGTTTGTTCAGCAGAAATCTGTCTTCAAGCCGAAGAGCACGTGTAGCCATTTCTAACCGTTTTTGGTACAAAAACACCCCAGCAGCCTGTTGAACTCCAGTGTCAGATATTTTCCAAGTCGAGTGACTTTCTAGAAGTTCGACTCCTGCTTTTGACCTGTCTGAAAGCTTTTTGTTTAAACTCTGCAGAAGATGCTCAGGCCGCTCTCCCTGCCGTTCTAGGCTAGCGTGGCTCGGGTAGGACCTCCAGGACCTGGACATGGGAACTCGCTGCCCAGTAAATAACCTGCTGCCCCACGGTGTCGGCTGATGCAGATGGCTCGGTGCGCGTGGGCTTTTTGCGCAGAGTGGCTGAAGGATGGGCAGGGAGCTCTCACGTAGAGCAGCTGTCGTCTGCCCTCTGTCCCTGACAACTGAGCTAGACCTGGCCGCGGGCCGGGCAGCCGCTGGATGGTTTGCCGGTTGTAGGTGTTGGCGTGCAAGCTGTTGTTCTGTATAAACACTCTTACATTGCCTTGTTGGCTACGGAAGGAGCTGGTGTGAAGTTAATATTGAATGTCCAGTGTGAGCAACATGTCATACTTGGTACGTACAGGAGTGCTGTTCGGTTTCAGGAAGCAACCATAAATCCCGCAGCTGCCCCGTTTGTGTGCTAGGGAAGTGCTAGAAATCACACATCTCCTTTTAAAGGACTGCCCTTCTTCAGTGCTTTTGTTTTCATCCCTCTCCCTTCCCTGGTTTAAACGTTATAGCTGAGAAATTTGTTTCCTCATTCTTAATTTTTTTTTTTTTTAAGGGAAGTAGTAAGATGGTCCCTCCTAAGTAAATTACTCATACAAGGCACTGATGTTGGAGCAGCACGTATTTGTTTCTCTAAGGCAGTGGACAGTTCTGCTGTACACTGGAAGCGGTCAGGAACAAAAAGGATTATGTTTGTTTATGTTTGAGAATGAATGGAGAGGGCAAAAGACCTATTAAGAGAAGGAAAAAAAAGGCTTGAATATAGTCAGTAGGAGGAGGAAGATGATTAGTGCATGAGTGCTGTTTATAGATTCCTCCTCTGGAAGACAGTGTCTTGAAAACAAAACCAAAAAACGACAATGGAGAACAAGGCTTTCCGATAGTAGGCGGCTGCTGATCAGAAGTGTTGTCACTCCTGTGCTGTTTTTAAGGGAGCGGATGCCGGCTTTTAGCTGTGAGGTGCTGCTGGGAACACAGAACGCCAAAGTCGTCGTGTTAAAAAGGAAGCATTTACATTTCGAGGCTCTCCAGATAGGGTGATGATGCGTTTCCTGATGCAACTGCAGGAAATGAAGCGCTGGTCGCACGCGGAGCGTTAATGGTGCGAGTGATGCACACGGAGCCGCCTTGGCCACCGCGTTTATTAGCGGGGCCTGCAGCGCAACAACGTCCAGTAACCGACCACTGTGGAAGTGAAGGACGCGTGTTCCGTCAGCCCCGAGGCGCGCAGGAAGCATCGCTGCGGTCGCTGACCTGAGTGCAGATGCAGACTTGCTCTGCTGAATTGTCTCGTTCAGGTCTGACGAACTGGTTTCCAACTTGTTTTAAAATGAAGGTGTGTGGGGGGGTTATTTTACTTGATACGTGCTTAATACTGATGTATTAACAAATCAGTATTAAAACAGATTCAAAGTGAATTATAAACTTCAGAGCTCAAACTTGTGACGTAGGCAGAAGATGTGTCAGCTTAAACTTTTTTTTTTTAAAAAAATAAGGCTTTTTACCGTTTCAATTTTAAGACCAGTGTTTGGAATAAGAATTACTCTTCTGTTTAGGGCTGTGATTTGTAGGAGCTTTGCTGGAAACTAGCCAGTATAGCATAGCAGGTTAGTTGTATTTAAAAGTGCCTTATTGTAAGGTATTGTTTGTTTGCTCTGTAATACACACTTTTATCCATAAAATAGTAAGTAAATGGGAGAATAATTTTTTTTTTTGCCCTCAGCAAATCTCAAAGTAGCAGTTTTATGTTTTAAGAAGGATTAAGTAAAGCTAGCCAGAGATTTATCAAATGTTTCAAATTATCAAATGTCTTTATATAAAATCATAAATCTAAAAAGCAAGAACTGTTTTTTCTAGAACTGTGGGAATTATTTTATGGTATTTTTCACAATAAAGATATTTATGATGACAAGAAAGCACTGCGGTTTGTTTGCCTGCCCTTCTTTCCTCATCCTGCTCTCCTTTCCTCATCCTGCTCTCCAAGCTTGAAGTTGGAGCCGTGCGGAAATGCAGTACAAGGCTGCCAAAATGCTGGCTGGGGCTGAATTAAAAGTTCTTAAGTAGCCAATGCAAAATCCGTCAGGCTTTAACAAGCAAGGTAGGAGTGGAGCAGCATTTGGATACTTCACAGTTGGATTTCAAGCTAGTTTTCCTCCCATTAGGAAGCCCGACTCAGCTGGTTCCTGCCTGTGGGTGCAGCTGCCTCTCACCATGTAGCTGAGCAGGTAGCAGAAAAAAATGCTGTGAAAGTTGAGGACAGCGTTTGACAAACTGCCCCACACCTGTTTTGGGGCACTGGGGGCAGAATCAGATCACAGCCAGGCTTTCGGGATAGCAGCCTGTCTCAGGAAAGCCTCTGGCCCCGCAGTTGCTGGTGAGATGAGGGGAGAGGAGGAACCTCCTCTGCCTTTTCTCCTGAGGCTGGAACTCGCAGCCAGCCAGCAGCTCTGGGGAGAGAAGGTGGGAGGCTCAGGGCATGTGGGACATGTCAGATGAGCGTGTACTCTACATGTGACTTTTAGGCAATGAAAACTACTTCTAAAGACAGAAAACTGATTTTTTTTGTTTAGTATTTTATTTATTTTTAATCCAGTGAATGTTCCAAGGGGGCTGACAAAAGAGCTGGAAGTTGGAGGGCAGGTGAGAAGTTGTTGAGGCTCAGGAGTTCATGCAGCAGCTCTTTCAGTGGGACTGGGAGGCCAGCGGATGAGAACAAGAAGCAGCGCTGCTCTGCAAAGGAGAGGAGTCTGTAGGAGGCTGGAGTAGAGACTGCATTGTGGGCCTCTGAGCAGAAGGTGCCCTCAGAGTACCCCAGGAGAGCTTGCACTCAGTTGGTGACTTCACCAAAGAAAGCATCAATTTGTGCGCAATGCCATAAAGCACCACCAAGGGCTCACTCTACTCACTGATACAACCTCTGCAGAGCAACATGAGAAACGATGCCTATTCACAGCGTCCATACGGATGACAATCCTACCTGAAGTGACCCAGATTATGTATACATGTGTGAATGACAACGTCAATAAGTAAGTGAGCTCCTTACTGGTCATCAAAACATGCATGGTAGGTACTTTGTTAACCTCTTCTGTAAGAGAGTTCCTGGTTGGAAGCAATTTATTGTACGCGTTGGCACGTGTGTGTATACAGTGGTGAAGTGCATGGATGCACACACAGCTGGTGAGAGTGGAGGTGACTCAGTTCAAAATTACATGGCCTGCAGCTGCCAAATGTGTGAAACTGAGCACAGACAACAGAGGTGAGATGAGATTTTTGGTGGGTGGTATAGAATCACAGAATGGTTAGAGTTGGAAGGGACCTCAAAGATCATCTAGTTCCAACCCCCCTGCCATGGGCAGGGACACCCTCCACTATACCAGGTTGCTCAAAGCCCCATCCAACCTGGCCTTGAACACTTCCAGGGATGAGGCATCCACAACTTCTCTGGGCAACCTGTTCCAGTGCCTCACCACTCTCAGAGTGAAGAATTTCTTCCTTATATCTAATCGAAATCTCCCCTCTTTCAGTTTAAAGCCATTGCCCCTTGTCCTGTCACTACACGCCCTTGTAAAAAGTCCCTCTCCAGCTTTCCTGTAGGCCTGGTATTCTGTTGATTTGTGTAATTCTATGAAGTCTCAATGTGAAGGCAAGTTCTTGTAACAGGAACCTTACTGAGAAATATATTCAATACTAAAGCTCTGGGTCATCAACAATCCTGCACTCATGTCTCACTTGTTCATTTTCTGTTAAACTTACAAGCTGATATAAAGAAAAGCAAGACCTAGGAAAGACACCGTAATAGTAATATGAATATAAATTGTATGAACTCTTCATTTCAACAGTTCAGATATTACTTTGCTTATTTACTGACGTGAATCAGGTTTCGGTAACACTCCTATAATCCAGGATGTGTTTTCTTCCCTTTCAGAGGGCAAGCACCCAGACTGGAAACTAGAAATAAGTTCTCCTGCATGAGAACTTTGCATAGTTCCTGCCCTACAGCATATTCCTAGTTTTGAACACTGCTGTCGCTTCCCAGCACAAACACTTTCTTGAGATTAAAGACATTTGAGGACCTGAGGCAATTTCTTAGCCTTGCATCTATTAACCAAGGATTTAATGGTGGTTGTATAATACAAAATAGGAGAACAGGAAATAATTTATTCTTTTTTTCTCCAGTGGCACCTTTTAATATTTTGTACAACATACACAATCCATTGGTTTGGTATTAAAAATATAACGATCTGCTAATGATTCCAAGTGCTGCTTTAAAGAGATCTTTGTAAAGTAGTGAATACATTTGCTGGACCCTCTTTGTTTTGTAAACCAATATGTATCTCAAAAGAGAGTCTTCCTTTGAAGTATTATATGCAGCAAAAAGAAATGCTGTAAAACATTGTTTTACAAATATATACAACACTGTAGAAAATGGTGTGAAGCCTTTTAAATCTTCAGAATATCTCCAGCAAATTACATTTCTAAAAATTATATTCTACTCATTTAAGAAATCTCAAGGAAATAGTATTTAAAGAGCTATTAATTTTTTAAAGTCTATAGAAGTAATCCAATTATTAAAAGAACAGGATGCTGTAGATAAAATGAACAAGAAATCAGTGCTTAAATTATCCACTTTTTATACTGCGAAACAGACATTTTCCACACAGATAATCATAATTAAAGACAACTGAGGTTTCTTAAAGAACTTTTAACTTTGTATGCTTCAAGCATGAAGCTTGTTGCAGAGTCAAGCATCAGGATGAAAGTATAAACTTAAAAAAAACAAGCAGCAAGCAGTTGAATAATCTTTTATTTTTTTCTCTCTGATACAGAGTATCAGTTGTTTCCTTGTTACGCATTGAATGTATAGTAATCGTGTATATACATCTGCTAAATCAATGATAATTCCATCTATATTCCATATAAAAATAACAGCTTAAAGTGCTGTGTTGAAATATGTTTGATGCCCGATATCCTTAAGTAACTACGTCAGAGAAAAAGTGTAACAAAACGGATATCGCAGTGAAATGGGATAGCTAAAGAGAGCTGACATCAGGATTTACCAATTATTGCCATTGTGTTACACAGGAAATACTTGGTTGGATACTTCATACAAGGAAAAAGCCCACAACAGACCTTTTAAAATCCATATGTGACACGTTAAAACTGCTCAAAATGTATAAAGGTAATACAATGAAAAATATAAAAAGCTGTAAAAAAATTTGCATGTCTCATTACAAAGACTTGAAAAAAAACAAGCAAAGCGTGATTTTAAATACTTGCTCTTACAGTAAAAAAAATTAAATAACCGACACCTGAGGACAGTGACAGTACATAATAACGAAAACGAAGCATATTTTTTATTTATTCAATTAGTTACTGGTATGGAAATACTATCCAACTCATCGTGGATTCACCCACTTAGTGCAAATTACCTTATTTTTCATAATTTCAAGTATTCAGATTGAAAGATTGCAATAAGCTCTTCTTATAAGACTTTGCAGTCATATCTGATCTGTTTTGCAACCAGCACAGCCTAAACAACAAAGCATGTATTTAAGGCACTAGATTTCAGTTTAAGAAATAAATTCCCTATTTTCTAATATCTGTACTTCAAGAACTTTTCACTGCAACTTTTGTCAGGTTCAAAATGCCAGTAGCCCATTAAAGCAAGGGTTTTCTGAGCACATTTAGAAAATTACAAGAGACCACTGATAGTCAAAATATTTTATTATTTTATTTTCAGTTCTAAACAGGACGATGATAATCAAAACCGAGTAGAAACAGCTTTCAGGTACTGACCTTCCAATGCAACATATGCTTGTTGGAAAATCATCTTAACCAAAAAATGTAACGGAATTTTATGACATACTATTTAAGTGGCCAAAAGGAGCCGAAGAATCAAAAATGGATTTTGAAATAGTAAGAGTGCAGCAGTCCCGCATAAATGAAAAGTGACATTCCTTGCTTCAGAGCAAGCTTCCAAGTTGACTTAGATTTGTGTGGTCTAAATTACACAAGCTGTTTTTTAATGTCTTATCTTTGCTACACTGAGATCTCTTTTTTTGTGACCACAGCATTTCTCCAGGGACAAAACTATGGACATAACTCCAAAGTTATTTATATTTAAATACGTTAGCTTAATGCATGTAATATGCACAAAACAGTTTTCATGTATATATTTAATGTGTGTCCTCCTCCAGACTGACACAATATATCTTTGAAGAGTTGAACACATCCTTCTTTATATTCTAAAATCCTCTGGGCAAGCCGCCTTTTAATGAAGGAAATGAAAACCAAAGAAATGAGGAAAGGTACTCTACACTGGTTAAAAAAAAAATAAAAATCAAGTACCTGTGGACTTCTCTTCTGCTTTTGTGTTTCATTTAACATGTTTTAAATAATACCATAAATTATAAAATATTTGACTTCACATGAACAAATGTTACAAATAGTGCTGACGTAACGTTCGTAACTTCCATTCGGTCTTCTGCAGAAGACCGTTGAGCCGTCACTGCGGCTGTTTGCAGTCTGTGCTAAAGTTCGTCGTGCTTAAGACCTGTAACGAAGGAAAAAAGTGATTACAAAACCCAGTTATATAAAGACTTAGCGACTACTGCTTAGAGCCTTGCTAAAAGTTGACCATAAGCTTCCACAAAGAATAAAAACTACTAAGGATTCTTTGCAATGAAAAGTGAATGTTTCCTGACTCAAGAATTTTAAACGTTTATCTGCTAAGATTTTCTTCAACCTTGAGAGCTGAAATCACCTTTTCTTTTGGTTTGTTTCACATTACTCCAAGAATTCAAGTCATACTGGAAGTCCTATAAGAGAGTTTTTTCCTTATCCTATTAGCAAAAAAAGTAACTCAAAATCTATTTGTAAACTAAAACCATCATTTAGTCTCGTGCAGAAAGGCCCCACATAGATCAGCCCAGAGTGAGAAATGCAGACGCAGAGACAAATGAACGGAGACTCCTGCTGCTTAACAGACATTAGCTTTAGATTCTCCAAGTGAGGTCTAAGCTAACGTGCTTGATTTAATATTTGTAGATCAAATTATGTGGAGCAGTTGGTTGTGTTTAAGGTCCAAGAACAGGAGACCACTAAATTTTCTCTTAGATTCTGCCATGAAACAAAAGACTTTACCCTCTTAGTGTAACTCTTACGTAAAGGAACATCACACGACTCTTAAAACCCACGCAACTTCTCTAAGAGTAGGGAAAATTACACAAATGCAATATTTATGCCTACTGACCCCTATCTTAATTTCAGCTACATTAATATTTATTTTTTAAAAGCTAACAGATGAATATGGATTAAAATTACCTTTTTGAGAGAACAAATTTAGATTTTTCTTGTCTTTTTCAATTTGCTGTATTAACTTTCGTATCTCAGAGTCATAGTCAACCCATTCGGGAACTATCCGGGCAGCAGCCTTCAATTTTGGTTCTTTGGTTTTGGGATTGTTGCACTGAAAGTTTAAAACATACTAGATGTAAACAAAGCAAATGTGAAAATACCACCTTTCCAAGGAACATCACCTAAAATAATTTTGTCAGCATTTACAATTTCATTGAAGGACAGCATGCAAGGTCAGTTACTTCGATATTAATCAAAAAAAATCACACAAACCAAATTGTAAATAAACCTTGTTTAAACAACTCAAAACATCGTATTGTAAATACTGTTATTTTCCCATGTGCTCCTGACTATATATAGATAGCAGAGACAGGGCTAGCACAAGACTGCTAAGATTTAGGTGAAGTTACACATGGAGATACAAGATATACATTAGCATACTGAAATTGAATCGGATACGGGTTTTTATTAAGTTTGTGACGCTTCCTCTAGTATTGTCTAGAAAATGTACTGATTGCTTCCATAAAATAACATAAATGGAAATCATAATAAAAAGTGATACATGCTAATTAGGATTGAAAGAAGGTCTAGTAACTTCATTGCAATCTTCCTTGAATAGAGAACCCCCATCTTTAGTGCGCATAAAAGCTTATTTTAACAACTGTGAGGACATAAAGAAAACAAAACTCTTTACACGCTGAATATTCGCGCTAGATTCCAACTGTCTGTTTTTCTTCAGAATCACGTCTCTGACATATATCCCTTACAGCACGTGGGGGTTGTCAAAAAATGAGAATGAGGTAATAATAACAGAGAGGAACATTTTCTCTCTCTGTTTCAATTCCTAAAGACAGACACTTTCTCCTTTCGAAACATGGATAGTCTTCTCAGCATTAGGCTTTTTCATCTCTCTCTGCTTTATCTCCTATTTATAGTGGTTAAATGGATGGAGAAAACAAGGATAATGTTGAAGTCCTCTACACAGTGGGTTCTGGAGGAATCTTCTTTGTAGGGCGCGCAATAGCAGCACACAACACCCGGACAGTTAACAGTAGTTAACAGGCAGAGTTCCACTAACCTGGCTGAACATGGAAAAAGACAAGGAAAATACATGTACAGGCGTGAAAAAACCCAATCCTGCCCAGTTACAGATAGCAACATTTAATTTTTAGGTGTAGTCTTCAGCTTTAACACAAGTTAATTTGGTAGAGAGCAAGAGGGAGAGGTCTCAGAGGAAAGGTGAAAAGTTGCTGCATTGTAGGGGTACGGAAGCAGTGTTCCAGTGCCTCCCCACAAGGCTGTCTCCATGACATCACACAAGCGTATCTCAACAGCCACAGAAATTGCAGCCAAGTTTCTAATCTATAAAACTAATTTAACTCATAATCAACTCACCAAGTCTATTGTTTTAGCCTTTTTCTTGGATTCATCATCGCACCAGGTTTCACACCAAAGCCATTCCTGAGGGAGAGACTTAATAGCTACTTGATGAATCATATTATTGGGAAGATCCTGTACAAATTTGGTAAAATTATAAATTAGCATTGAATTTAACATAATTGGTTATCAAGCAACTACTTAAAAGTAGAATATCTTTGCCTATTACCATTTCTGCAAATTGTTTTTATGTTTCCTTCTTACATTTCCTTCTAAGTGCTCACCTAGTTCTTCAAGTAGATTCAAAACTTCGTCATGCTGGTTTTGATGGCTAATTCCACCTCTCATTTCTCAAGTAATTTTTTCTTGTACTTACGTCTGTCCTCCCTTAGCTTGACATAAACAATACTGCTGTCTGATACTTGTGGTTCACATACTGCATCTCATACTTTAAATACGACTAAGAAGAATTAGACTGTGTGATATGATTAAAGCAAAACTTAACCATCTTTCCATTCCACAAATTTGAAAAAAAAAAAAAGCTCAAAAGCATATAATCCAGGATTACATCACTACTCTGAATTTAGACTTCTTCTAGGAAAATGGATTCTAGAAACATGAGCGTGAAAAGGAAAAGCTATTAAACTGCTGTTCTGGCAATCTTCCTTACTTCAATTAAAATATCTTTCTTTTTTAACCTTTATTATGTAGTCAAGTACTCTTATCATGAAAACTCTGAATCAATATCTTGCTAAATGTAGGGAACAGCATTTACAAATGAGAAAAACCTCAGGCAGTCATGCTGCATGTACTCCGGCCATAGTTAAAAATAACAGGTGTAATTGGTAGATCCATTTGGAAGCTCCTTTATATGTGCAATCCCTACATTATATTTAAAAAAAAAAGTCAGTACTTAAATAAGTATTAGTCACATCTTATTTTGCCAATTCACATTGCTAAATATGACAGAATAAAATAGCATGTATCACTGCATTATGAAAGGCATATAATTTAATTCAAATACAGACATTAGTACAGGAAAATTACATCAAATATAAAGTATATTGAGAGTACAGACATTAAACATTAATTGAAATGCTTTATTTTTTGAAAAACTTCAATTCTAGGAATTTTTGGAATATAAAATAAATGGTTTATCACCATCTCAATTTCAAGAGAAAAGAGATAGGTTTTCCGTTGAGCCTCTCTGACTTTCTAAATGAAATCACATTTACAGTAACTCACAAAGTTGTGAATTTACAAATTGTTATATGGAGTAGAAAGCAGAAAGGCAGCTCCTAGTTCCATGATTTAAAGTATATTGAAGAAAAAAAAAATTCTAACCAAAATGTTGCTTATCCTTCCAGAAGAAAGTGGTTTTATCCTCAAAAACACTAAAATACATCTAGAAGATCAAAAAGAAAATATTCATGAATCAGAAAAATAAAGGAACAAGGGCAAGAACAGATTGGTTTTACTGTCAGTGCCAGAATTATTGTTCATTAAAAATATGTAAACTGCTGAAATGAAAGTCTTCTAGACTTTCACAAACAAAAATGTTAGGTTGTTCTTCAATTTGGTTTACAACATAACTGTTTTCACACTTAGTCAGATAACCTACATAATTTTAAAGGGGGACTCCTCTACAGCAGGGTCTTTATTAGAAAATAAAACCTCAATTAAAAAAGAAAAAAAACATTGCCTCTGAATAAAAGAAATAGTCTTACATTCCTTTCTGCTGATTTTTACGCTTTAAGTAAAGAACAAGATGGTTAATTATCTATTTTTTAATGAATTGCTATTAGTATAAATATCTGTTAAGTATTTTGTCATCTATACATGTACATTTCCACTCTTCTCTTTAAAAAGTACAATTAAATATGCTGTACTAGAAGTCTAATTTTTATCATGTGTAGTTTTTCTCCCTAGGAGTTCTATACTTATTCTCCTTGGCATTTAAAATTACTTTTTTTTCCACTCATATCTACTTCTATTTCATGGTTTATATTAGCATAACCTTAACTACCACCCATGAAGGCAGCAGTGCTGGCATATTAACAAAGAGCTGAGATTGCCGCTTCTTTAAGAAGGGCAGTGAGCACTCCAGCCAGATATTTAAAAGAAAAAAATTTATCATAATGCATTTTTATGAGTAGATAAAAGCTCTCCAGGACTCTCGTAAAATATATTGCACTGTGGTTCGTATTTGTAGGAACGTTGCTGTATTTGGTGTAAGCAGCAGCAATGACGGCAGAAAGCGATACCCAGCAATACAGTCAGAAAGCGGAGTACCACAAAAACATTACTTCGAAATACTTCTCTTTCCAAAGTAATTCCAATTCCATTCTGTCAAATTTAGGTACCTTAATATGTGCTCTCAGCACTGATGTGCTGAGGGAAGGGTGGCTGACACTTAATTAAGTGGCTTTGGATTTGGTCCAACAGACTTACAAGAGATATGCTATCATGAATTCATGCTGTAATTGAAAATATAAGAATCTTAAAACAGAGATATATTATGAATATTTTAAGAACACTAGATAAAACTAATTACTATTTCTGAAAAGCAGCATTATGGTGGAAGCCCTGTAACCAGCTTCTGAATCTTTAAGGTCTTTCTGAAAGACAGACCCTGTACATAAGGGTAAGACCACGGAACAAATACAGCTGTATCAAACCAGGACTCTTCCAGTGCGCGATACAGGGTCTATAATTCATTCTATTGTCACAGAATCACAAAATGTTAGGGATTGGAAGGGGCCTCAAAGGATCATCTAGTCCAATCCCCCTGCCAGAGCAGGACCACCTAGATCAGATCACACAAGAACGCGTCCAGGTGGGTTTTGAACATCTCCAGAGAAGGAGACTCCACAACCTCTCTGGGCAGCCTGTTCCAGTGTTCTGTTACCCTTACTGGGAAGAAGTTCTTCCTCATGTTTAAGCAGAACCTCCTATGTTCCAGCTTATATCCATTTCCCCTTGTCCTGTCATTGGATGTCACTGACCATTGTCCAGAAAAGAGAGGTAAAATCTGACTGTTGCTGCTGTATCAGTCTTTTGCTCTTAACAGTTCCAGCTTAAGGCTGCTCCAACTCCCTGTGTCCAGACTAGTTCAAGCTTGCAGCAGTATTTCCACTTTTCTTGGTCCAGTTTCATAAGAACTGCTATTTTCAATTTTTAGTTTTATTTCTAGAGAAAATGCAAGTGGCAGTAACGCACTTATGTAAGAGAGAGAAACTTGCTTGCAGAGTGAGGGGGTGGAATGCAGGCACTGAGAAACGTGAGCCTTGCTACTGTGGGATCCCTTTACTGCTATAGGCGGTAAAAACCTTTTGTGCTTTAGTAATTCCACAAGGAAAATTATAAAAGCAGGGACAATCTTCTCACTTATAAAGCCTTCTGAAGTTCACTCAAAGACAGACATAAATAAGAAGTATTATTTACTCAGGCAGAAATCAAATGGGCTGTTTTGTCAATCTTCTACTGAGTTAAGGAACCTCTACTACAGAAGAAAATAATATATTTAAGTATGTTCTTTACATCTGGGATCTACTTACATGCTTGTGACTTGCACCCTGACTTACCCCACCTAGCTTTAAAAATTGCTGGAGTTATGTAGATGAAGACTACAGTCACCTCAGGGTGACCATGTACAGCAACCACTAGAGTTGCATTAGCATTTAGTTTACAAAAAATAAATTTAAATTAATGGAAAAAAAGAAGAAAGAGGAAAAAACTCTTGCTAAATAAGAATATAATTCCCATTATCAGAACATATATTATCCCTAGAAAAATACAAACGCACATAGAACAACTACAAATAAAGGAGAGCAGTCCTCTATGCTGTTTTTTTCCTCATTTTTTAATATTAAAAAATTATTTAAAGTAATTATTCTTTAACGTTCGGTTTTCTGAACTGTGCTCATATGCACACCTGAAAACGTGCTAGAACAGCAGTAAAGGGCAAACAATCTCAGAATTAAGTAACACATACATTGATGCACAAAATAATTCCATGCATATTGAGAAAGATACAGAAAATTAAACCCAAATTGCTTAAAGCCATATATACCTGATCTAGATTTGACAGACTGTTTGGATCTTGACTAAGAGCCTGGTACTGGCCCCGAAGCCTATCTCCTGCTGCAATCTTCCTGAACTTCTTAAGATCCACAACATATAAGGCACTACAAAGATAAAAAAAAAAGAATTAAGATTTGTGGAGTTCCACCTTCTTTTTGATAACATTAAAAAGAGTAACAAGAAACCAAAAACCTGTTCCCATCCTCAAAGAATATTTTTTTAATTAAGCAGCTGAAGCTGCGATAAAAAAATGAAATCAACGTGTCATCAGAATTCATGCCTTATTCACCTCTTACCGAGAATGACTGTAGGGCAATTGCTTTTGAATGCCTCAGTGATAAATACCAAGACCCAGATTTTAATCAAATTCACAAACCGCACAAAAATATGTAAGGAGTTATCCTACCTAATGTGGTATTTCCTTTTCCCAAGATGTGATGCCCAGTATCCTGATTTCCAGAAACGGTATCCATCCATTTCTTTACGGCTGTCACAGAAAGGTGTGTATCCATAGGGAGCTCCATTTAGATCTAGATCTCTGAGTTCTTTTAGGTCACTTCTCACAATCTAAATAATAATTTATTTATTTTTGTAATTAATGGTTTCATGATGTGTACATGAGGGAAGTTATTGCAGCAAGCTTCTCAAGGTTTAATTTTATTTTTAAAAAATTTGGAGACATTACAACAGTGAAGCGTAGATCAAGTATTCCACTGGAATGATATTAACCAAATTATTGTTCAAGGAAAAAAAAATATGTGTTTATTCCGTGGCCATCTGTGTAACGCATTTAATAAGTAAATTAAATAAAAGAAGCAAACTATTTTAAATTCATAGACCAGTGTTTCTGGCCAACAGTAAATTCCTTTGTGCAGGAGTAAAACTTGCAAAATCTACTGAGCATGTCCCTTGATAACTTGAACACTCCAAAATTATTGTATCATTTGAAAAATCTTTGTATCTAGTAGTAAAGTACTTTTAAAAATAGGTCATAAGGACATTTTACAAATGTCCTTTATTTACTACTCAAACATTCTTCTATCAAACTCCACAAATTCATTTTATCAGTGGTAAAAAAAGTTTTAGGTGTTTCAGAGAACAGAGAAATCCTTACAGTAGTTAGGACAGAAACCCAGTATTACTACTATATCCAGATGAAATTGCAGAAAGTTGCGGACTGCATTGCTACATCTAAATTTAATTTATTCTCAGGCTTTGGAAAAGGACCAAAATACGTAATATTCCAAGGTTTTAAATAACCATGTGACAAACTTTTCAATTTCTCATCTGTTTGAGACAGCCTGTTACCCATCAGTATATTACACAATATTCATTTCTGGGTGAAAGACTGCATACAAATTTAAGAAAAACAGAGACAGGATTAATCTTGAAAAATTCAGCCATCTAGAAGTCGTTCAAGTGGTCTAAACTAATCACCTCAGACTCCCTCCATAGTGAAGAAGTCCTCTCACGATCAGCCCAGAGACTGAACCACTCAAATATGCCTTAGGTGAAACGCACCTTTAAGATCACACGTACCTCTCCAGGTGCCTTTTTCTCTCCACAGGCAATTTAGGACAACTCAGTGTGGTAAGACTCCTAATTTCTCCATGACTAAAGACAAGTGAAATTATTGCATTTCATGTTCTGTAACACCACTAGTTCTGCTTGTACAACTGCAGGAGTCTTACAAGACCAACATCTGAATAAAACTGCCACAGAGAATGAAACTGGATCATTTTAAGCTAAAATGAATTCCTCATACATTTATACAGCATTATTTTTTCTTACCTGGTCAGCATCGACAAATATTATTTTATCCACAGCCAAAGGGAAAAGAACATCCAAAAAAAGAATTTTGTAGCCCCAGATAATTCTTTGTTTTTCTGTCTGTTGATAAAGCCAGCGGGGCCACTTATACTGTACTAACTCATACTCGAAACCATACTTTTTAGCCATGTGAGGAATAATATCCTAGAGAAAGAACCAAAAACCTGTTAGTTGCACATGTATGCACACGCATGGGCTCAAAAGGAAAAAGAGGGAGTGTTGCAACACAGTTGCAGCTGTGTTGGCCTTACTGACTAATTAATTTATTATTTTAGAATGTTTTTTTAGTTCTAGCAGTATACTCAGCTACATAAATATAAAAAGCATTTCTTTCAAGCTCTTGGAAACTATCAGAAGAAAATAAATTATTATAATATATCACTGGACTTTGGGTTCCAGGAAAGAACCACCCGACACATGAGACTTTTAAAACTATTGGTATTTAATGCATTCAGAGATCATTTCCAACTGTGAAAATTTGATTTGAATTAGAACTACTCAATTGTAATTTAAAAAAAACCAAAAACTACTTTAAATTTTTAAGAAAAAATTATAAAAGGAAGACATTTCTCCTACCTTAAATGTTGGGGAGAGATAGTTTTTCAGAAACCAAAATTTAACTGGTGTTTTCGTATGACGTAGGACAGAAAGCATCATAATTCTGTGGAAATATAAGTCTATAATAAACAAATACCCACAGGTCATTAAATTTCAACTGCACCTAGAAGGTGCCAAAATCTTCTAAGTATAATTTTCTTTAACCCAGTATAAGCATAAATTTCTCTCTATTTCTAATTAAAAGCTTTAAAGAACATGTGTTCAAGACCACTTTGAGATGGACTTATTTGATCCAGATTGGTTAAGCAGTATTAGAAGGAACAAGTTCAAAAGTGGATCCGTTGACAAGTTTTACTCTAAGACAGACGCCTGACAAAATCAGAATAATGATTAATACCTTATATTAACTTGGGTACCAAGATAACTTATTTTAGAAATATATTGGTTGAATTTAATAGGTTGCTGAAAAGAAAAACTGTGGGAAAGAGAAAGCATAGTTCAAGTCAAGATCATCTTCAGAAAATCCTTGATAACTGTAAGAATCACTATTTTGGGTTCAATTTTTTTTCACTGTTGTGGTATTTGTTTGGTGTAACCAGACAGATAAGCAACACCATACAACCTTACAAGAATTCAAAGCCTACCTTAAAAATCAAGAAATAATAAACTTTAAAATAAGGTAAAGAAGAATGTAGGTTATTTTAAAATTATTTTTTTCTCCTTCAAAATAAATTAATCTTTCCCTTTATGAAGGTTGTTGTAGGTTGAAGGAAAGAAATGCAGATGTTCAAACTGCATCAGACTACTAAGAAATAAAAATCAATACATACAAAATACTACTTTCCAAATCAATATGCATGATAGAATTGTGGAATTCTGCAGACACCTGTAGACAAGTAATCAAATCAGAAAAGTAACAGAGATGGTTTTGAACAGTTGGGCAATACTCTAAGAATTCCTTAAAAGCAATCACTGCTTATTGAATGAACAGTGGGATAAGTAAGGCCATATGTGCATATAGTAGTATCCATAGTTTGGACTAAACATAAATAGATAAAACTCTAATGTATTCACTTCTGTTAGTCTTTATAAAAAGAGGCCAAACTTCATCTTTTATGCTCACACTTAGCACACGGAGTTATGAAAGACACGGAGAACATTTTTTTTTCTTCAAAGAACAATGGTATTTTTGAACATCTATATGTTGAATCACTTTGTTCTGAAACAAAGATGAATTTAGTCCTTGCTGTATACAACTTCTCTATGTTTTGACAAATTATTCTTTACACCTTGTTAAAAAAGCCAGTTTCTTTAAGCTGCTTAGTTTTAGAATGAACATTTACAGTATCGCTATTAAATTTTTGTTTTGCTTTTACCTTTCCTTACCTTAAAAATCGTTCATATAAATGGCCTGAAGCAACTGAAAAAATGTTAAGAATATCACTTTTCTTTTCCTTCTCTTCTGTTGGAATTTCTTCTGAAAATCTAAGAAAAAAAACACCTCAAATTATTAGTCAACATTCAAACATTCAGCAGAAAGAAAATACTACTACATTACCATTAAGCTTTTAAAGAATCAAAAGTAAGAAAACACACAAAATAAATACTCATCCTACTGTAACTGAATACACTTACATTCCACTCTCACTGCACGTGCTGATGATACCAAACTCTTTTGGGAGCAACGCCTCATACCCAGTCACTCAGGACAAACAATGGCACAACTGTAGTCTTCAATATTTTCAAACAGAACCCAAATTTGGCACGAACTCAAAGTTTTATCAAGGTAAAAAATCAGAAATGCACACGGTCAGAATATCTTGAGAACTGGTGATTTTTAAAATCATCAACAGTTATTCTTCAAGCTTCATCCACATATATTCTACATCAGAAGAACCAATGCATGTTCTTGAGGTGAGGGATGTCTGCATAGCCCCATAGGTGGCTGAGCTGAGCATATACTCTAAAATATAGACCGAACATAATATAAAGATGGCCACACCAGGCCAAACCAAATATGCAGCCCAGTACCTTACCAACAGCAAAGGACAAGGCTGAGGAGTAGTAGCCTTTCCCAGAATACTCTCATAACATTCAGTGGTCTGTGCTGATGGGATTTCCCGAGTGTTTTTCAAAATACTTGCTGAATTCTTCCTGAAATTCACCCAGTTACTGTCCCTATAAGCTACCCTATATCTTTGAGGTACGTAGTCCAGAGGTTTTAGCCAAATCGGTTACAGTATGGCTTGATATGGTTGGAGATTCACCTCAATAGTCTTTTTTTTGAGATGAGCCACTCCTCACACGCTTAGATTGTGTGAGTAACTCCTATTAATTTTTCTTCTGGTTAGATGCCTTTCAAAAGTATACTTTAAGTATAAAAATAAGTATCTCTTGTAATCTTTAAGAACAAATGAGACAAGTCTCAAATCTCCAACATATTTAAAAGAATTCACATCACTCCACTAATACAAAGGTGAAACCTCAGAAGGCTGAAATGTGTGTAAGTGGTGTGAATCATCTTTTGAGAAAACCACATTATTTTCACTCAGCAATGGTAACAGGAGACAGCACAGTCGTACCTTATCAGGACTATAGGAAATGCAGAAGAAAAGGACACCAGTAGAGGAGTGGCACTGACTGCATGGTGTGGCATCTCCAAAGAATTCAACCCTCCAACTATCACTGAGTTCTCACAGGCTAAATAGACTGCAGTTCACAGTCCCAAGCAGTCTGTCTTCTTTCTTTCTGACTTTTTGTCCCATTTCTTATAGTTAATGATAGCAGGACTGAAAGAATGTCAAGCTCTTTACAATGCAACCATCACCACATGTGACTATGAAGATAGATTTGAAAAAAGAAAATCAGACTTCGATGCGAATATCTTGAAAATATTGATTATGCAAAGCTTTACAGAAGGCAGAGACCTTCCAAATTGAACAAGCTGCTCTGAAGCGGGTGGGTTAACCTGTAAGGTCGCTTGGGAAAAGTAGTCAATTGGAGAAGGGCAGTTCAGTTATGAAAGGACTTGGGGGATGTGGTATGCACACATGTCCCATGTCAGAGCACACATGGATTCCTGTAACAAACAGTGTGCTGGCAGGACATACTTTTCATTCTACGATATCAAAGAGGAAGGATATTTGACAAATTCCTAGATAGCAAGAAGATGACAGACAAACGGCAGGCCTCACTTCATGCCCCTGAGCCACAACCTTGAATCAATGAGAAGAGCAAACAAAGTTTATTGAGTCAGGGGCTTCAACAGCCAAACTCTGAGCCTGATGCACACCGATGAACCAACATACTGTGAAAAAAGGCTAGACCTGGAAGATTGTGAGATCTCTGGCCTTGTAACCTTCTTAGCTAAGATTTTGACCACTGCACATACATCCTTTGATGCAGCCAGTTATAAGCAGAAAGCTTGAAGACGGTAAAAAATTCCTTCAACTGACGTAATTCTGCAAAAGAGGCCACCTTTGGGCAGAAAAGTGGGTCTACTTCCCTGACCTGTGGCTTCAGAAAGAAATTTTTAGGACTTGCATAGTAGTCTGGAAGGGTTTCTGAATTTAGTCAATATTGTAATAAAATAATCTGTGGATAAATGGTGATGAACATAAAATCAGCAACAGACACTCAATAAAAAGTCCAGGTACTTGAGATACAAGAGGCCTTATCCAGAGACAAGGATAAAGCTGAAACAGAAGCCAGTCCTGGATCTACCAAGAAATGTGTGTGCTGAGGATTAATTGGGGTCAACTGTTTACTAGATAAAGTAGAACTGCTACACCTTTTCTTTATCTTCTTTGACAGTCTTTGTGACTGACAACCATTGCCAAGGCTACTGAAAATGGAAGAAAACCTTTTTTGTGTCTTGCGGCAGTGATTTGGGACCAGAAAGTCTATTAAAAAAACCCTTAAAATTTTTGTAAGCAAAGATGAAACATCCTTTTTTGCCCTTATTTAACTCTGAAAAATAACATAACAATTTCACAGGAATTTGTTTCTTATTAATAAAAACTAAATTCAAATTTTAAAAAAATCGGCCTGAACCACACACCATTCACAGACAACATAATTATAAGCAACATTATGGGCAACTGAAAACAAAATTCTACAATGGTATGCAGCAAATTAGAAATACTACAATGTTATTGGCCCTAAATATAAAGCTTGAGACGTTTACTACAATTATTTATAGAAATCAGACTTTAAAATAAAAGGTATTTTATTGATAAATATAAAAACACTTCTTGAGCTTTCATAAGTTACGTCTAGCAGCAGACAAGCAGCATCATTGCCTGCTTTTGGATGTTCAGTTTGATACATCTGAGTACCACGTTACTGGTTGAGATTTTCACATTGAGACTAATTCCCTGCCACAACAAAACAAAAATAATGCCAATGGAGAAAATGAACAGGAAGTAGAAATACAAAGGAGGGGTTAAAAAGGAAATAAATAATGAGATGTACAAGACATTACAGTTTGTCTTTTTCCCGCTTTTATATTTTAAATCCCTTGGAGAGCCTTTTTACATATTTGTGCAAGAAGCACTTACTTGCTATGAATAATAATAAACATGTTCTGTCAGTATAAGCAAATTATACATTACCTTGTAACTGATTCCCGATTTCCTTTTTTTCCTGTTGTTCCATCAGTAAGGAGATCTTCATTCATTTTAGCAGACTTTTTCTGTACCTGGTCATTAAAATAAATGTACTTGTGTCATTTGGGAAATTAGTTGATAATTACTGCTTCAATTTGTTGTCTAACTATGGTGTACTTACTGGCCAGAGCTGGACCAACATCTTACCAATTTCTATTTCAGTAAAATACTTACTGAACTGCACTAAACTGAACAGTAAAAACATAATTTCATACTTCAAACTAACTACAGAACTTACTGTAATAAGAAGAAAAGTAATCAATTATGAAAAATGAAATGGTGATTAATAAATCAAACAGCATGTTCAAGCCCTCTGTACTTCTTTACGCAAACAGTAACTAAAAGTGTGGGGAATCGTATCTCATTTTCTTCCCTCATGAGTTTGTGATCCAGCTTTTAGCTGGCAGAGGGGTAGCAGGGTGTAACACCATGAATGGAACTTACCTGAAGGGAAACTGTGATTCTCATAAGCCCTTCACAAGGAGAAAGCAACAAATCTGTCGCTGAAGCACAAGCCCTCCCATCCAGCTTAAGCAACTCCTGCTGTCTTACCCAGATGCTTAATAAAGGCTCCAAATTAATCTTGTTTGCTGACCCTAATTTCTTTGATTGAAAGAAACCTAATTGCTTTTGAAACCCAAATAGCTTCCAAAACACTAAATGTTTGAACATATTCAATTCTAACCATATCAATTTCACGTTTATACCATCAAGTTAATGCTTACAGATTTCTGCTCACACTAACTAAATCATGCATCTTTTTAGCTAATGCTTCTGTAACCACATCCTAGGTATCACTGAAGTGATCCTACAGTTCAACTGGATGATAGAGCTTACATATTCTAGTTATAAGCTTAATACAGACCACCTTTCACATAGAATAATTTTCCTATTTTGACCCAAATGGCACCCTTTCTCTGTGGTTTAAAGGCAGGCTCATCATGCTCCAGAGCACTACACGTTTTCTCCAGGTTCTGGAAACTTTCATTTACAAGAATGGGAAGAGACTAATATGTGTGGGTTTAAAAATTCCTTTTGTACTTATGTTTACATCATTCTCTCTCCTTCTCAATGTCTAAAATTAGAATACAATATACCAAGGACATCTACACAAAATATTATTTACAAAATAGTGGAAAACATATACCATGAGGTTCTTTCTTCTTCATGTAACTCGTGTTTCATTATCTCTTTTTGATGATACAATATACCAAGGACATCTACACAAAACATTATTTACAAAATAGCGGAAAACATATAATACCATGAGGTTCTTTCTTCTTAATGTAACTCGTGTTTCATTATCTCTTTTTGATTCAACTTTAAGAATTAAAGTAACATCATTTCATTTACACAAATTTGCTAGCTCAGGGTAGACTTCAACGTTTTAACTTCCACCCTGGTATCTGGACTTCACGTAAAATCCCTCCCCAGGCACAGGAGAGAACTGGATGTCTCAAGAGGTGGTCATCCCCTTGGTTTAAATACAAACGCAAGCTGGGATGAGCAGTCCGTTGGACTGTCTCATTCTATCCCTTGGTTTAAATACAAATGCGAGCTAGGATGAGCAGTCCGTTGGACTGTCTCATTCTACTGAGCAGAGAGGGAGTTTAAGGCACCTAGACTACACTCTTAGACACCTTAAGCTAGATGAGATAAATCCTATCTATGTTATGCACACAGATGTATTACTTTAACAGCTATTTAACAATCTTCCATGCAATTAGTTTAACCTGATTGAATCCAATTAACTACATTAATTTGCACACTCTTCTCTATTTAATTATACAAAATCTAAATTATGTATTTCAGCATACATCTTCCAATTAAATATAGCCTAAGACATGTAAGCATTAGTCCTATTTCATATAAGGAAATACCGCAGACAAAAAAAAAAGGTATCTCTTTACATACTTGGACTTTGATAATTTTGCTTCTGAAGTTGTTTAATACCACGATAACATCTGTCAGGTCAGCTACAGAATCTGTTCCTTCATGGCTGTGAGGAGAAAAGAACCCATGCAAATGTACTGGCTTATTAAAACATGCATTATTACTTGTGTTTATAATTAGAGTATAAGGTTTAGGATTGCTGATATTTATAGAAACAGTATTTATTCACTTGCACCTAATTAGATCTTAACATTCTGAGTTTTATTCATCACTAGACATTATCTACAGTGGTAGCCCTCAATTTTTAATTTGTATTTTCACAGGAAATTTTATCAAACAATAAAGAAATGCAGCAATTTAGAGCTGAATATGTTATTATTTACTATACAGGTATGTATTACATTCAAATATTAAACTACATTTTATTTTCAAAATACGGAAAGCATCTTAGAAATTGCTGTGTGACAGCATTAAAAGTACTTTAAAAATGAACCTCTTAAAAAGTCTAAAAAAAGCTTCATGACAGTGCTGACATAGTAAAGATTGGCTTTGGTAACTGTACCCCTAAAGACACGGCTGTGTGAGGCACCACACGAACGTCTGCCCT